CGGCCAGGGCTTTTGATTTCTTTGGAAGGCGACCTGTTGCTAGATGAAGTATCACTGGCAGCTGCTTAGCCTGGCTTTGTGTTCCATGGCCGTGAGTCGTAGGACTCAAGACTGGGAGGACCCCACTCCAAGGCTCTGCTAACCTAGCTGTGGTGCATTCGGTGATGGGGCCTGGGCACCACACCTGAGGGCTACCAGTACGGAATGAGCCAGCTGGGGGCTCACAGCTCTGGGAAAGCCCTGTTGAGCCAGGACTCAGCAGATGGCCTCATACTGGCTGGGGTAGAGAGTGGGATGCTAGTTAAACAGAAGTACTCCAAGAGGAAGCCGTGCTCTCTAGGGAGAGGGAGGCAGTGGGCCCTTGTACTGTGCCCTCACCCCCCAGGAACCGTCCCCACACTTGCCAGGCTGTCACAGATGACCCTGCATCCCCAGGAGGCACAAAGACCCACTGTAGAAATTCAGGTTTTGCTTCCACTGGGAAGGCAGCAGGAATGTGGCATCATTGTCAAGCCCGAGTTGTCTGACTCTACCCAGAAGCCTTCTCCTCAGCCACTATGGAGCTCTGTACCCCAGCCGCCCTCCCCTCCCAGGGCACACAGGAGGACCACTGCGCCCTGACCTGTGCTGTTCTACAGACACACAGCGTGAGCTCCATAGGTAATCACAGCAGTTTCTGGGAACCACTTTAAAATGTGCAAGGAAGCAGGCAAAGTTAAATTTTAAAATATTTTTATTTGGGGACTGAAAAGGGGCTCAGTGGTTAAGAGCCATTTGTGGTCTTGCAGAGGGTCTGGGTTCATGTAGCAGCACCATATGGGGGTTGGCAGCCACCTGTAACTCCAGCTCCAGGGGTTCTGATGCCGCTGGCCTCTGTTGGCACTTGCATTCATATGCACAAATACACACACACACACACACACACACACAGAGTTAAAGATAAAAATACATAAAATAAAAGTGTTTCATTTATAAGTTGTTCTAGAATATTCTCAATATATCATCAATACCAAATTCTTTTTTCCCATTTTTTAATTTTATGTTATGTTTTGCCTGCATGTTTATCTATGTATCACATGTGTGCAGTGTTTGAGGAGGCCAGAAGGAGGCGTTGGATCCTCTGGAACTAGAGTTACAGATGGCTGTGAGCTGTATTGACAGGTTCAGACTGGGGTCCTCTGGAGGAGCAGACAGAGCTCTTAACTACAGAGCCACCTCTCCAGCCCCTAGTACAAAATTCTTAATGAAACCCTTTTCCTTCCCTTCCCTCCCCTCCCCTGTTCTATCTTTCTCTCCCGTCCCCTTTCCCATCCTATCCTTCCCTTCTGTCCTCTCCCCTCTCCTTTCATTCCTCTCCCTCTTTTCTCTTGTATACTTCTTATCCAGCATGTCTTACCTGCACAGCCTAACTCGACCTGGACTGGCTGCATTGCAAGGGACCCTTGTCATGTGCAGACAGAGGTTACCCTGTGGGTAGTGCAGCCATACATCTTTGCTATAGGCAGTCTGCACACCCGCAGTTTCCATAGCAACTCTGAAGTGGAAAAGTGAAGGCACCTGGGCCCCAACCCAGCCTCTCGGAACCAGAACTACGTTCTCATCCCTCACAGTTTCCTCCTTTGCTGGGTGAAGGTTGTGAAAGCCCAGCATGGGAGCTCCCTCATGGCGATGTCGCCGTCTGACTTATTCCTAACATGTAGCAGAGAAACTGTCATCTGGAAGGCATACTGTGTCTTAGCGAAAAGGAATGAATGCAGAAATAGCCCGAGTCCCTCCCTGCCCACTCCTCCCAGCGCCCTGTTCCCTGTGCTCAGTGTGAGTCAGAATCTGAGGCCCAAAGTAAAATGATGGAGTTAGAGGTGATGTGGGTGGCAGAGCTGGAGGGCGCTGTAAGTTTGTTACCTGAGGAGAAACTAGAGATTACAAAGTCAGGGCACGGAGGAGGAGGGCAGTCAGAAGGTGAAGAAGGCCAGCACGGCGGTGCACACTTGTAACCCAGCACATGGGAGACTGAGGCATGGGGATCAAGAGTTCATGGCCATCTGGGCTGTATAATGGCCAGTGTTGCCCTATAGCAAGACTTGCCCGAGTTCTCAGTGATACAACCTCGTAGGTGAGGTCTCACAGCTTGCTGTGGCCCAGGTACACCCTGGTTCCAGAGAAAGTTAATTCAGAAAAGCATAGCACTCCATATCTGGGTGTCTGACTGGGCCCTCCTTTGTTCTCAGATACCTCAGTGCTGTCCCTTCAGACCCCTTATGGAGCCATTACTTGGAGGCCCCAGGCCTGGCCTACACATGGTATTATAGATCTTCAACATTTTGGAAAAGATTCATTTATAAATATGCATAGGATAAAATCGAAAAGGAAGCACCGAGAGACACATGGTGTGAAGATGTTTATTAAATGATGAATATAGCAGTGACAGGTCGGAAACAGGGTGACGGGCAAACCAGCCGTGGGCCATGCGGACACTGAAATTCTATGTCATAATTAAAAATGGCAGTATGGCCGGGCGTGGTGGCACACACTTGTAATTCTAGCACTTGGAAAACTGGGTAGCCTGGGCTACATAGTGAGACTACATGATCCTAGCATTTGGCAGTCTGGGTAGCCTGGGCTACATTGTGAGACCATGTCTTTAAAAGAAAAAAAAAAAAGAATGTTGATATTGACATAGGGCTGGGACTGTAACCCAGTGGTAAAGCGTTTGCTTAGTTTGTACAAGGCCTTAACACTTCAAATTAATGCTAATATGGAAATATTCATCTATATGGAAAAAAATGTTCAGTGTGTGGCATGAGAGGATTGGTGAGGTCACTTTATTTATACACACAGGAAGGATATATGCCCCCAACAGTTTTAGTGTTGGCTTTTAGGGGAACTGAATGTAAGTGATTAATCTGCCTTTTTAAAAGCTTTTTAATTTTGGTTGTTCATTTGTGTTTTCCTGAGACACCGTCTTGTTATGGAGAGGACTGGCCATGACACGGCCCAGACTGGCCTCGAACTCTTGATCCTTGTGTCTCAGCCTCCCGTGTGCTGAGATTACAAGTGTGCACCGCCGCCACCACATCTAGCTCCCTTCATCTCTTCTGACCCCCTACCCCCATTGCTTTTGTAATTTCTAGTTTCTCCTCACTAAGCAAGAATTACTGATGTAGTACAAAATGAGATGTACAAAAATAGAACACAGGTGAGGGGAGCGGGGTTCTAGCTGGCAGCCTTATTTTAGAATGTGTTGCAGAAATCCTAGGTACAAATTTATAACGTTATAGCCCAACAGTTGTATTTAAATGTAGCGGCAAGGAATCATTAAATGTTTGAGAGTTAAAGTTAAAACTCATGAGCCAGCTTTTGCTAAATATCTGTTTGGGGAAGTGAAAGTTGATTATGGTACAATCTTGTTTTGAATGGAATCCACCTAACCCTTGCTATGTGGGTTCTAAATGCTATATGGAGATTGAGTAATGATTACGGGAGAGACAGTCCTAGAACCATGTGTTAGAGCTGGGTAGATGAACGGACACACATGCAGCACACATGTGCATGCACACACGTGTGCACATACACACATGCACATGTATATATGCATGCACGCACGCGCACACACACACATGCATGTATACAGGCACACAGTCTAGCACAGGACCTCTTTCCATCATCACCAGCCATGCTGACCCCTGACTCCAGCCATTTCTACCCTGTGGCTCATTCACTACACTCTAGTGGAGTCATCGTCTCAAAGCACGATCAGGTCACATTCCTCCTCTTCATAAAACCCTTTGGTACCTCGGGATACCTCTGGTCCTCACAACTGTCTCTTTCCATGATTTGTCCCGTCCCGCCTCTCTCTTCTTGTTGCCTGTCCCTCTTCCCTGACTCACACATGCCAGCCATGCAGCCTCTTCCAGTGGTTTGCACTTCCAGGTTCCTTCTCTGGAACAGGTCTTACCCATAGTGCCCTGCTTCCTCACTTTCTGGGGGTCTTTGTCTCTGCATTGATGACATCTTTCTCAGCACCCCAAACAAAAGATCCCACATCTTACTTAGACACCTCAGCGGACTTCATACTTCTCTGTAACACTTGACTGTCCCTGACAGATGACCAATTTGTCTATTCTTTGTCTCCCTTCACCAGAATATAAACACCCTGAGGCCAAGGACTTTTTTTTTTAATGTCCAGTGCCCTTAATCCAAGATCAAGTGAGTGTCAGCAGCCTTGGAAGGAATAAGTGGCCGTTAGGTACCGAGTAACAGATCCTCATCCTGTCAGGGAGGTACCTGAGGAAGGCTCCTTGCCTTGCCCAAGGTCACAGCTGGGACACCCAGCAGACATCCTGGCTAAAGCCACACGCTCACAAGGACCCTGGCCTTGTCCATCCTGCTTCCCGTGTGTTTGTCCCGTTCACACAGAATTTCAGCCCGGAATAGCAAAAGAAGAAACAGCTGTTGAGGGTTCCTCCCTGGAAAAGCAGTAGTGAGCTCAGGGTGGGAAGAAAGAAGGGAGGAAGGGGTCCCTGGCCGTGGGGACAGTGCGATAGATTTGATTTTAATAACATCTGTGCCTGCTTTTGCAGCACAGTTCTGGAAGGTGGGTGGTCTGTCTGAAGTATCAGGTGGGGCCTCCCTCCGTTCCTGGCCCAGGATGCAGGTGGCTGAGGGATTCACTCAACAGACAGATGACGTAAGAAGGAGCTGGGCCCAAAGGAGCATCTGGGAACCCCAGTCTGGCCTTCAGGCCTGTTGGTCCATGGCCCAGCCTCGCTCTCAAGTGTCTCTGGACCTCTGGACCCACCCCCTTCCTGAGCTGGTTCAGACGCCCCCTTTGATGCGTGAAGAGCTCTGCCCTTCTCTCTCTCAAGCCCCATGTGGTTTGTTAATTGGCTGTGAAATGAGGGATTTCAGGCGTCACTCATCCGTGTGAGCTCAGTGGAGCTGCGGTGGGATGCTGATCCTGTTCAGTGTTCTCAAACCTGTCTGTTTGTCTGGCTCCGCAGATGCAGCTTCTGGATAAATTTCCTATTGAAGGCGGCCAGAAGGATCCCAAGCAGAGGATCATCCCCTTCCTCCCAGGTAAGCGCCAATGGCCCCTCTGCAGGGCTGGGGTGACTCGGAGAAGTCCTCCCTCCCTAAGCCAAGAGGAGGCTAGAAATGTGTTAACCACTCCCCAAAGGACTTGCAAGCCTTTGCTTTTGAAGGCCACTGTCCTCCAACTGGCTTCATAAACATCCTTGCCAGCCCTTGGCCTGTAGCTCACGAGGAGTCTCTGAGGCTCTCGGACTTGATATCTTCTTCACAAAAGACCCTGAGAGGGTAGGATGTGTGTAACCCTGTAATCCGAGGCCTCGAAAGGCAGGCAGAGGTGGGCATCAAGAGTCAGAGGCTCAGCTGAACTTTATTACCATTTTGAGGCCAGACTGAGCTACATAGAAAGACACAAGGGTTAGTAGTTCAAGGCGTCTGGGCCAGCAAGGTAACTTTGATAAAGATACTTGGCACCAAGTCTGACAAACGGAGTTTGAGTCCCAGAAGGACCCACGTGGTGGAAGGAGGGAACCAACTTTAAGCTGTGCTCTGACCTCCATATGTGACCCCACCCCCATGCATGCAAAATAAAGATGTAATAATTTACAGTCACACTCAGCTACACAGTGAGTTCAAGCCCAGCCTGGTCTCCTGGAGACTCCATCTCAGGTGGTTAAGAGCACTGGCTGTTCTAGAGGGCCCAGATTCTATTCCCAGCACCCAAATGGCTGCTCACAACCATCTGTAATAACCAGTCCCAGGGGAGGCAAAGCCTTCTTCCAGCCCCCTCAGATGTGAGGCGGCCATGTGGTACACAGATGTTCATGCAAACAAAACACTCATACATAGTTTTTTTTTTTTGAGACAGGGTTTTCCTGTGTTCTGGAATTAACTCTGTAGTGCAGGCTGGTCTCGAACTCAGAGACCTGCCTGCCTCTGCCTCTGCCTCCCCAGTGCTGGGATTAAAGGTGCATGCAGACACCAATACGAGGCTTTTTGTTGTAAAATCTTTTTTGGTTTTTAAGTTAAAAAGTATCATAAACTAAACAACCAACCAGAGCCGCTGAGAGTTTTAATTTCTCCTGGGAGAGGATTGCTAATCACAAGCACAACTGTTTCCCCACCTCCCTTATAGTGCGCACACTCCCTGAGTCTTGCTCTCCCGTGGGCCTTATGGTCCTGTGGGTACTCCTTAGCACACCTGCGAGCTAGCAGGTCTGGGTCTAGCTCAGCCTAGCCGGGCGCTGCAGCACCATTTGGAACCTGTTTCATGCAATCAATCATATGTAATTTAGAGAAAAATGTCTCAGGTAAGCCATGACCCGCTATTACTGGGATGTCTAAAGTTTGAGTAGAGGCCTGTAATGTAATTATAGCCTGCTCCTTATCATTACCGCGAACGGCTCTTCCTGCTGAGAACTGCGTTATCACTTCTCATGAGGGCTTCCGAGAGGTCAGTTAACTGCCCATGAAAGTGGCAGAACTAAGGCGTGAACTCAGGGCTTTGCCCTGAACCGTGAGGGCCCCACTGCCCCCTGGTTTTCCGGGTCCAGCCGGCTCTCAGGACAGTCACTTCACAGTGGTCTTCCCACTAGGTTAATGCTGGCGCTGGACCTTCACAGGCCAGCAGCCTCCAGGGTTATAGTTGCCAGTTAGACACGAGTAGCCTGTGGTCAGGACGTGCTGTGGATTGAACAGGTGGTGGCCCCTCAACTGGAGAGTGGCACCCCTCTGAAGGGTGTTCCTTACCCGACCCTCAAAGTCAACAAAAGACTACGTATCTTCAGCATCTTTGCTAGACTTGGAGAGAAGTAACCAGCTCCCAGGTAGAAGAGCCAGAGCTGCTTTGGGGAAGGTAGGATTGGAGGTGGCGCTGGAGGCCATGGCTTTGGGTACCACTGCCTCTTGGTCCCGTATCTCACAGTCAGACTATCTCCATTCACGCCTGGAAACCATAGCTCTGTCAGTGACCAGATGTAGTAACTGTGCCTCAGGTTCCTCATCTGGAAAATGGGGTGATAACGGCATCTACCCCATAAGCTGTGGTAAAAGTGAATTGTTGGCAGCCAGCTGTTTCGAACCGTGGCTGACCCCTGCCGAGGGTCAACTAAGTGTTAGTTCTTATTGTTGCCACGTCTCCACATATGCTTAGGATTTTCACCACACAGTCCCACGAACACTATGACGTGACCTGAAATTATTGTCCCTATTTTACTGACTAGGAAATGGAGGCTAAGGGATGCTCACAGATTTGTCTCCCAAAATAAATTCGTAATAAAAACAACTTTTAGAAGGAGGTGGGAATTGGAGAGATGGCCTTGCAGTGGACCCAAGTTCAGTTCCCAGAACGTATGTAGAGCAGATAGATCAGTACCTCCAGTTCCGGGGAGGGAGGATTCAAAACCTCTAACCTCTGTACAGAGGTACCCCCACCCCATGGACATAATTAAAACTAAAATAAATCTTTAAAGGAAGTCACTGACTTTCTGTGAGGAGGTGGACGCATGCCCTGCTGTGCGTTTGCAGTCGGAGAAAAGCATGAGCTGGGCATCTCCTTCTCTCGTAGGTCCCAGGCAGGGAGCTCAGTCTTGGCAACAGGTCCCTCCATCTCACTGAGCCACCTCACCAACCTCTGAAGCTCTCAATGAGGTTAACTGACCCCACCAGCCAGGAAGAGTGAGACACAGGACACCTTCCCACCCCTATATAAATGTGACCATAGGGAATGTCATTGAGAGAAAAGGGGTTGACTAATTCCCCAAAAGGAAACTCTCCCTTTCCTTAGCCCTGTTCCCTCTTAGCCCCCTGTAGTGCGAATTCTAATTGGTCTTGATAATAAAAACCCAGAGTCAGTTATGGGGGTAAATGCTGAAAGATCCGAGAAGAAGCCAGCCACTAGAGAGACTTTTAGCTCTACCAAATCCTCAGACCGAAGGGGGGCAAGATCCTCTCTCAAGGAGCCCTCAGACTGAATGCCCTGAGCTCCTGTCTCCTCCCATTTTATATTCCTCTCTCTCTCCCGCCCAGCCATATCACTTCCTGTCTCCACCTCCCTAGTGCTGGGATTAAAGGTGTGAGCCACACTGCCTGACTCTGTTTCTCTTTTAAAATGGACCGATTTTGTGTCTCTCTCCTAGAGCTCCATGGAGGGAAAGTTCCAGAGAGAAATCTCAGAGAGGCTCAGTTTTAGTTCCAGAGCCGTTGGAGCATGGCAAGCATTTCTGCGGCCCAGGAGGGGCTTGGGGTGTATTCCAGGTGTCAGTCCACCTGGCCACAGGCATCTTAGGATATGTCCAGGCAGGTCAGGCCCACCTAGAGTCCAGGCCAGCCTGTGGGTTAGAAAGGGGCTAAGCACTCAGTGTTCCTGTGGCCAAAGATAGAGTCTTCATCCCAGAGAAGCTGGCCCCTAGTAGTACCCAGTGCCATTGTATAGTGGCACTGGGGCCAGGGATAGGGTTTAGGGGAGGTCTGTGAGCAGGGCCAGTGAGGTCCTAGACGTAGGGTTTGACCAATTACTGATATTCGAGTATCAATTAAGTCCTTTATAAAGGTGGCGAATGGACTGCCCTTAAGAAGGTCTCCTAAGTTGTTTTCACCTGCACTAAAACCTGTTTTCTGGATTCTGGGAATGAAGAGCCACTGTACAGAACAGCCAGCTTCCACAAGGCCTGAGAAGGCCATGGAAGGAGATAGAAGGTGTGGAGCCCACACACAAGAGGCAGCTCTCCAGTAGGTGTTACAGGGAAGAAGATATGTGTGGCTCAGGCCAAGAAACGGCAGTGTTATTCAAGAGCGTGAGCATCTTGGGAAAAGGAGGTTGAGGATAGACTCCCCCAGGCTGTACCCCCAAACTCCAGACTGTGTGAGAGTGAGGTAGACACACCCATCTCTTTGGCTGACGTCTGTGGCTCTTTGAAACCAGGCCCTCGTCCTCCTTGGTCTTCACTCATGTTTCTGCTATGGGCTGTGTTAAGACTTGTTGATCAGTTTCCTTATTGACACACATTTTACCGAGCTACTAGTATATGCCTGGACTAGTACCAGCCACTCCTCATTTCTTCATTCCTTCCTTCCAGGCTCACTGAGAGCCGGTAATCCCCAGTTTAGAGAAAAGTCAACTTGGAGGTAGCAGATGGCTCAGTGGTACTTGCCACCAAAATGAGTTTAAATCCTGGAACTCACATGGTAGATGGAAAGAACTGACTGTTCAAGTTGTCCTCTGACCTACACACACACACACACACACACACACACACACACGTTCTCGGATGTACTGTCTTTCCCTGGCTAAGGAGGAACTGGCACAGCCAGCCTCAGCAAGGCTTTGCTCTTTATTTTGTTTTGTTTTGTTTTTTGAGTCAGAGTTTCTCTGTAGCTTTGGATCCTGTCCTGGAACTAGCTCTTGTAGACCAGGCTGGCCTTGAACTCACAGAGATCCACCTACCTCTGCTTCCCGAGTGCTGGGATTAAAGGTGTGCATCACCATCCATGGGCTGCAAGGCTCTTCTTTTGCCTTCCTCTGCTACTGCTGTACCCACCAAGTTAGGGCTGAGACCAAGCACAAGTCCTTTTGGTCCCTCACTCAACTGTCACTGTTTTCTTGAGCATTAGGAGCTTCCTGTTTGGGGTCAGGTAGCCTTGAACCTCTGCGAATTGGGAATCAGGTAGCCTGGAAGTCTCTCCCAATTGCGTTGAGTGACTGAGGACATTGACACTGAGTAATTCTTTTGTGCCTGAGTTTTTTCATTTAAACAATTGCACACATTCTGTGGGTCTAAGGCTCTTAGAGCTCCTCATTCGTTTAATTGCCAGGCTATTGCATTCCTCTTAAATACCTCCCCACCCTGCCTTCTTTTTGAGATAGGGTCTTGTTTTAGGGTTTTTGTAACTGTAAAAAACACTGTGACCAAAAACAATTAGGGGAGGAAAGGGTCATTTTGTTTACAACTCTCAGGTCACCTCCTTCACTGAGGAAGTCAGGACAGGAACTCAAACATGACAGGAACTCAAACATGACAGGAATCTGGAAGCAGGAACTGAAACAGAGG